CACCAGGAGTTACTGTACATACATAATATAATATAATATTATATAGGATAGATATAGTCATATATTTAGTTATAAATATACATATAAATATATATCTTCATATACATACTGTATATACTCATGTACACAAGCCCACATCTACATATATACATTATATATATTTAGTGTTTCCTCACAACTAGCAACACACGTTTTAAACCAATTATATATTTTTGTCCAGTCTTCTGTTTAAATGATAGCTCCTTTTCTCCTCCGCTTGAACTTGAACTTATTCTTTGTCCAACACCTAAAAATATTATGTTGAAATCATCGGCGTAACAAATGTACGCTACCATTTTTTTTACGTATGAAAAATCACATTTTCGTACCTTAATTATCAAACTGAAAAAAAAAAAAAAAGTTCAGTCTTTACCATAGCCCTCATAGCTGCTGCCATGTTTCCATGAATTTCATACTATATGCCCCGAACTCTCTTATCCCCCGTTGCTTCACTGTCACAGCTTCAGATTTTCCTTGACAGCCACTCTCCGCCTGGCTTAAATCATCAGGACCTACTGCGAGGGCCAAACCATAGGTCTGTTTCCTCTCAGTAAGGCTTCTGTTTGCTCACAGTGGAAACTAATGACCTTCATACGACGTGTCTCCGGAGTGTGCCTCAACATCTTGAAGCAGTAGAAGTCATTAGACAAATACGCTTGACAACACGTGCGACTGCCATCGCCGTCCGCTGTTGACGGTCAAGGCTGCTCCGGGTTTAGCTGTGTCATTGCAGCTGTCGCACAGCCTTGAACACCCAGGAGTTTTTTTTTTTTCTTTTTACTCTGTAACTGTGGTTCAAAAAGATACAAAGCAATAACACAGGCAAATAATTAGCATCAAGTAGAGAGACGCAAGTTGGAGCGGGATGGGGAATAATAGCATCAAAATGCGTCACTGCAGTCAGAACCTGAACTTCAAAGTTTTTTTTTTTTTATTCCCCCCGCTCGGATTCCTCTCGCTCCTTTGTCTCGCTTGCACTCGCAGAAGTGAAAAACAAAAAATTTGACTCTGCATCTGCATGCGTATGAACGTATTGCTTTGAATGCGTGTTTTTAATTGATTTATTCTCTCTCTTTGTCTTAAGTTGTTCAAGGAGCCGATGTCACAGGACTGGAGAGATGAAGTGAAAGAACTTGCTGCTCTTTTATCCAAACCCCACTTTCAGGTGAGGTCTTCTGTTGCAAGCCAGTCGAACAACACGTGTCGATCTAACATTTCTTTTGTAGCAAAACAAAACCATGAAAGGTAGGATTAATGCCAAAGAGATAAACACCTTATTAAACATAACATTATTGTCATAGGCAAAAAAAAAAAAAAAAAAAAAATGCAGCCTGATCTGTATGTCAATTTGAAAACATAGCATCATAGCATTTGACATAGGGGCATTCCACAGGGATCAGCATTTGGCTCCATGTTGTTTATTCGGTATATAAATAATCTGTGTAAATAGGTAATAAGTATTGTCATTTTTTAACTAAAAATGAACTGTATCGTTATTGTCCGGTGCTACATTGCATTAAGAAAAATATCGATATATATATATATTACAATATCCAGATTTGGCCCATCCCAACAAAGGACCTTTTTTAAATCGTTATATACGGGATTGTTATCCCACCAAGAACTTTTAAAAAGACTTTTGTACCAAATGAAGTCTTGCAGTGGTTTCAAGCTTCTAATCGGCGTTTGGGCCATATTTCACTTCGTCCTTTTTCCCTCTTACATTACCACACGCACGCACATCCAAGCGTGTCCCCATAATTCACATGGTCCATTAATGAGGCAGGAACATAAACCAGCATGAAAGAAAACTTTTACTGCCTCCGACTCCCGACACCCGGGGCCGAATGATGGCCGCAGTAAAATAAACCTACAATGAATCATCGCTTTCAACGCGACCGACACTAAAATTTGTAATTCGAGAACCGATTCATTACATCACAAATTCTCTATTTTCAGATGTAGAATTGGGGATTCATTGTTTACAAAAACAGGTGGCCAAAAGCAACAAATAGCCCAGCGATGATTTAACCCCGACTTGTCTGTTTGCTAAAAAAAGTGCTGACATGTATTCACCAGACTGGAACTGATGCTAATTTGTTCCCGTATAATATTTATTAGTCTTTACTGGTGCAGAAGCCACAAACACTCTTTGTCCCACTGGTCTCTGGATTTTATTTTTTCCAGTAAGATGTACGATCGGTGGCCTTTTTTCTTAACGAGTAGCTAAAGTCGGACAAAAACCAACAGCTTCATTTTACAGTCTAATGACCTGTTTTTTTTTTTTCCGGCCTTGAACTTCTGACGGACGTTGATCATTATGTACTGTATATGTTTTTTTTTTTTGTTTTTTTTTAAGAAAAGCCTGTCTGTTGAGAGCAGCCAAACATACACTTTTTTTTTTTTAAACAACCTCTCTCCATAGCAGAACAACCGCTGATGGACACGAGGGATAACAAGTGGACTGAGTGACAGACTGATTGTTCGAAATAAGGCTGATGAGCAGATGTTTCTCCATTTTCTCATTCGGGCTTTATGCAGAAATTCCATCCATATAAATTCTTTTCCAAATTTTGAAACCCCGCCGCAGGTCACGGAAAAGATTCATGTTTGAACAAAATATATTTACTTTTTTTTTTTTTTGCTGGAAACATACTTTTCAAATTGAGGCGCTCGCCATGACTGCTCCAGTTCGGGGGTATTGACCGTGGTGATTCATGGGTTGAGTCAGAGGGTTGAACTGGGGTTGACCTCTCATGGGCAAACTAAGGCCCGGGGGGCCTGATGTGGCCCGTTCGGCGTTTTAATCCGGCCCGCCAAACTTTTCCAACTTATACAATATATTTATATTATCATTATACTTCTGCCTTTTCCCTGCAATGCCCATGTTTCCCCACTAGATGGCGTAGAAAACGATCAATCATTTTAGGCCTTTATGCATGACTTTTACTTAGTTCACGGAAATGCTCCTGACCCGGTCCCGCCTGTCAAATCATCGCCTTCTTTTTCTTTGATCGTCGTACCTCACAACTAAACACCCTCCTAACCTTCCTTCACAGAGTCTCCTGTGTGTCCATGATGCGATCGCTCAGAGAGACTTCGATCCATCTTTGCCACCAGCACCTGATGATGCTTTGGAGGAGGAAGACGGCGCCTTCAAAATTGTTAGTCTGGTCAAAACCAAAGAGCCCCTGGTGAGTAAACATGTGATTATCTTTGACGAAACATTGCACATTTATATATCAACCTTAAAAAAACAAAAAAAAAACTAATATCTTTGACGAAACATATATATATATCAACCTTAAAAAAAAAAAAAAAACAAAATCTGAGGGCTAAAATAAGACAAAAATTAACTCGCTGATGACCAATAATAAAGAACATACTGATGTGCCGTTCACAGACCGTAAGAACTGGGAGGCCAGTGACCTTTCTTTGACATTCTGTTTTTGATCGAACCGGCGTGTTCAGGTTTTTCCAGACAACAGGGGCTACACCCCGCGCGAGCTGATTGTACTCGAGCTCCACGAGATGCTCTTTCCATTACAATTTGCTCCACATCAGCGACATCTGTTGAAAATAATGTTGATTAGGAGGAACTTTTCCAGTGCTCTGTGTGTTACATGACCGCAGCTGGCTAAACGGTACGCTAGTAAAACAAACAGAAACGGCCCGATTATGAAGATGAGCGGGGCTGCGATCAAATAAACGCCGCGATGTTTTTTGTCTCTCTGTTTTTCCCTCAATGCTTATCCACGTCCCAGGGCATGACAATTAGGAGGAACGAAACCACCGGGGCGGTTGTAGTGGCAAGAATCCTGAGAGGAGGTGCAGCTGATAAAAGCGGTGAGCTAACATGATATGTACACCAGTAATAAATCATACCTTCGGATACTAGTAGTGACGTCGTGATCACAGGTGTAACAAATTATGCAGATGTCTGGGGATCGCATTTTCAGGACAATCCATGTGAGATTGATGATATGATAAAATGTATTGGCATAAATGTTAACATAATATAATAATATATTTTCTTATTATAACTATTTGCCATTTTTATGCTCATTTTGTCATATCATTGGTATTTTCTATAATGTTTATTTCTATATAGTTTTGGGATGCGTTATCGGTAAGACATTTTCAAAATATTTAACTAAGGATGTCCGATATGGCCCAATATTGTCCAAACACTTCCCGTGATTATCAAGATAGATTAATAAAATCAGACGCAATGCTGCCCTCTAGTGGTTTTCACTTTCACATACAGACGTTTTTCACCCAAACTATTTTTAGGGCACAACCCGAGCGTTGCGTAATCAGGTTTTTTTTTTCATGATCGGAGGGAAAAACTGATAAAGATTCTTACAGATGTTACATAATTTTAAAAAAAATCGGGCCGACTGATATTATCCTTATATTTAACCATAAATGGCACAAAATACATGGCAGTGAAATTACATTGATGTGCCTGTTTATGATGCATGAATGCGTTTGTCACCGTGGTAATATTTTACTCCTCGATCTTCCTTAGATCTAATCCACGAAGGAGACGAACTAAAGGAAGTGAACGGAGTGTTACTGAAGAACAGGAAGCCAGAGGAAATCCTTTCTATACTAGTCAGTGTAACAGTTCGAAGTCATGTTGATACGTTTGTTCCTATTTTCTTCAAATTAATTTTTGATTTTGTCATTTTTGAAGTCATACCCAGTCTTGACCCACAAATTGAAATACTATTGAGAACCTGATAACATGTATATTTCTATCTGTACAAAGCACTGTATGAGCTGCTGCCACCTAGTGACTGGAGGCTTGTACTGCATTAGGTAAAACCTTACCACAATGAATGAAACATGAAATTTCAAATGTCCTGAAAGAATAGTTAAAGTGATCTGCCTTTAACTGAACTGAATTTCTAGCTCGAAAAAAAAAAAAATATTATATCCAATGATATAATACGATTTCTGTTATTTTTCTCGTTCTTCAGGCTCAGTCCCCGGACAGTGTCACATTCACAATCATCCCGGCATTTGCGGAGGAGAGCACGTCTCCGTGTGAGAGAAAGGTACAGAAGTCAATCCATATCAGAAGTTGAAGGATGCGCTTCTAACTCTGTCGCATTTTTACGACACGTATTCATTCAATCCCTCAATATAAACACTCCATTCACACGTCACATAAGTCGAACCACTTCATTGGTCACAAGTTTATACTTTGTACCAGAGGTGGGACCAAGTCATTGCTTTGCGAGTCACAAGCAAGTCTCAAGTCTTTGCACTCAAGTCCGAATCAAGAATCAAGTCAAAAAAGGGGCAAAGTCCGAGTCGAATTCAAGTCAAGACTGACTAAGTGTCAAGTCAAGTCCCAAGTCCTGCCGTTTCTGTTTCGGGTCCCTTCCACTCGTTTTTTTTGTTGACCATCTCGTCGTTTTTAAATCCGAACAACACGATCTTTGGTATCATTTTCTCTTAACCCGCGCGTTGTTCGACAGCTCTTTCTCTTTGGTTGTCCCGCAATTTGATTGGCCAACGATATTATCGCGTCAAAACAACGTGGGTCTAATTTGATCGGATGTTGTGCCGACAGCACATGCGTACACAATGAGGGATACAGAGCGCTCCTCAATAACTTACTTTATAATCGTTGGGTTTTGGAGAAAGCATCGAGTCTTGTCGAAGTCAAAGGGGCTCGAGTCCAAGTGAAGTCACGAGTCATTGATGTTTAAAGTCCAAGTCGAGTTCCAAGTCTCTTTACATTTTGTCGAGTCGAGTCTAAAGTCGTCAAATTGATGACTCGAGTCTGACTCGAGTCCAAGTCGTGAGACTCGAGTCCACACCTCTGCTTTGTGCTCAGTGTGGAAATGTCACATTTTCTCCAACCCCCAGGAATTTCTACCAGTAACTGCTGATTGCCAACCCAAAACATACGTGGTGAGGATATCCAAGCTGGAAAGCAAACATTTGCAATGGATTAAGACAAAGTATTTTCAGTGATTGTGGTCATTTCTCAAAAATGACATTGTGTACGTGAAGACGGAGCTGCACGAGACCAAGAGAAACAAATGTGTATCCCGACCGAGATCCGGCCGTGCCTTGCAGAGACGCAGCGCTTTCCTTCAAAAGAGGGGAAATTCTCCAGATTGTCTGCATGGAAGATGTCAACTGGTGGCAGGCCTGTCACCTTAAAGACAGCAGCGGTCGGGGAGGACTCATTCCCTCACAGCAGCTGCAGGAGAGGTCCATTATCCTCTACTTTTGGAATTACAAAAATATAATTGCTGGAACAACTAGAAACATCTGACATCACTGCCGCATGACAACCTACATTGAAATGTTGGACGTGGTTTCTAAAAACATGACGGTCAGGTCCTGCAGTAACAGTACACAATGTGCCGACCACATTGTCCAGCGCTCATGTAACTAACCGCATTTACATCCAACCAAAATGGTCAAAACAATGGCCAACGCCTGCAGGTTTTAGCTAGTGCACTAAAGTGTGTTTTTGACAGTGCCGGTAAACCAAAAACAAAACGATTTCATTAAGAGGAGGTGATGATAGTTAATAATCATTTAAATAGTAACTAGATTTTTTTTTAAAAATGGAAGTTATTAATGAATTTTTTTATATTAGCGCCTGCTACATGCTAACTGACGGGTGATATTTTCAGCGCTAGCTGTCATATTGATTTTATTTTAGTTTTTTAACATTGTTAAAAAAAAAACATTACAGAAGTTTGGTACACATGTAAAAAAAAAAAAAAAAAATTATGGTGGTTGATACTATGACTAGAACTATTTCCGAGGACGTAGCTTAGCCTAGCTTAGCTTAGCTGTCATTCCATGCCAGTAGAGAATTTTGGTGTTTTCTTCATTTGAACAGCATTTCATCAGTGTATTTTCTTTTTGCATTTTTCTATATTAGCACTTGCTACATGCTAACTGACCCGTGATTTTTGGACAAATATATTTTCAGAGCTGGCTGTCATATTGATTCTATTTTAGTTTTTCAACGTAGTTAAAAGACAAATACAGTAGAGTAGTTTGGTACACGTTTAAAAAAAAAAAATGCTGGTTGATACTATGACTAGAACTAGAACTGTGACTATTTCCGACGACGTAGCTCAGCTTAGCTTAGCTTACCTTAGCTTTGCTGTTATTTTATATAACCAGTAGAGAATTTTAAATATAAAAAAAGTAAGGTATGTAAAATAGTTGTTTTTTTTTTTAGTTTTTGTCATTGTTGTATATGCTTTTGCATTTCACAACAGACGTTCTCGCAGCGAGAATCGTCCTCAAAATAGATTTACAACTGCGATGTTCTCCAAAAGTCCCCGTAGCTCGTTAACACCTGTGCTTTTTTTTTATGCGTCTATGTCCATAAATCATTTTAATGAAGCCCTGCATTGATTCACTCTTGTTTTCCCTGGCCTTCCTACAGAAGAGTGGCACTGCAGCGTCCCAGAGCCCTGTTCAAGCCCGGAGAAGTAAAAGCACCAGGTGCGTGTCCATAAAGTCACCACACCTGAGTAGAATAAAAAAAAAAAAGGCTTTCACCCCTTCTGCTGTGTCACGACTTCAGATCAAAACGTCGTCGTCGTTGTATGTTTTTCTCAACACTTTGCTTTTCTCTACATGCTCCACAGATGACAATGAAGGTAACTAACTTTTGGAATGAATCACATCAAATGCATGTTTTTTCTCACAAATAAAATGTAAATCAGTATTTTCTACTTGGGTACCGTGTACATACTGTGTCTTACGCACTTTCGTTAAAGGGTAGCTAATAGCGATATAAAATAAAATATAATAAAATAAAATAAATTTTTTTTCCCCTAAACAGTCCAAGTTTACCCAAGGTCACCATATTACAGCGGTCCCCAACCCCTGGTCCGGGGACCAGTGCCGGTCCGTAGGTCATTTGGTATCGGGCCACAGTGAAAAAATCTCACTTCAGTTTTATAAACATAAACCAAGGACCCGCTGTATATGATAAATACTGCTGCAGAGGAAGGGTCTGTTGAAGTACACACCATATGTAAATGTAAAACATGGATTTCCGACAGCAGAATATTACTACCAATTTTTTTTTTTTTTAATTTTATCTCGGTCAAAACGTACGCTAAAACGTTTAGTTTTAACATGTAAGCGTAACACATGTTGTTCCCTTGTGGCTTTTGTCCACAATTTCCTCACTCATTTTCTATTGAATTGCTAATGGAGAAACTACCCCAAGGTAGTAGCTTAAAAAATCGCAAAGTAGAGGCAAAGTAGTTAAAATTATATTATTTTTATTATTATTATTTGACCCTTTACGAACCTCCCTCACACTGTTATCAACCCTCCCTGGACTGTATTACCCTTTCCCACACAATTATATTGAACATAGTAGAATGGCGACCAAGTGAACAAGAAAATGGCCGACAGACAGGGGGAGACGCTGAGAGATGCTACGATGCACGAGCCAATCAGCGCGAGGGAAAGTAAAACATGGATTTCCAACAGCAGAATATTACTACCAATTTTTTTTTTTTTTTAATTTTATCTCGGTCAAAACGTACGCTAAAACGTTTAGTTTTAACATGTAAGCGTAACACATGTTGTTCCCTTGTGGCTTTTGTCCACAATTTCCTCACTCATTTTCTACTGAATTGCTAATGGAGAAACTACCCCAAGGTAGTAGCTTAAAAATCGCAAAGTAGAGGCAAAATAGTTAAAATTATATTATTTTCATTATTATTATTTAACCCTTTACGAACCTCCCCCTGGACTGTATTACCCTTTCCCACACAATTATATGAACATAGTAGAATGGCGACCAAGTGAACAAGAAAATGGCCGACAGACAGGGGGAGACGCTGAGAGATGCTACGATGCACGAGCCAATCAGCGCGAGGAACAGAGGAGCAATGCTCAATTAGCCAAAGCATTGGTTTTTGTATCTAATAACTGAGGTCTGCTTTCGCATTCGGTCGCTAGATATTTACACGATCAAATCGGGCGCTCTCTTTTTTGAAACAGATTTGACCCAATTGCTTTTGACTCGGAGTCAAACCTACGGCGTAAGATGAGAGTAAATTCTATAGCTTTTCACACTGTCCTTTTAAACCTCATATTAAAAAGTCTCCCTTTTATTCCTACATCTGTGGGTTTTTTTTTTTTTTTTTTTTACACGTTTGCCCACGGAGGAAATAGACAGACATGTTTGCAAAAAGTACAATTAAGGCTGACGTCAAAGAAAGCCTGGCACAATCACTTTGCAGCAGTTAACATCATTGAAAAAGCAACGAGACCGGGGAGGCCAAGACGGGGACAGACCACAGTCGCAGGGCAGACGCTGACTGCCAGACGGCCTACGCACCGCACATGACTGTTATTGTCACTTCAGAGACGTTTTTTTCACTGTTCACGCTGTTGACGCCGTGTCTGGTGTTTAACACCAAATTTTGGCTGGTAGTTTAGAGCAGGCATGGGCAAAATGAGGCCCCCCCGGGGGTGCAAGATGCACATAAAAAAAATTAAAAATGAATTAAATTTAATTAATTTAATTTAATTAATTAGCTGAACATTTTTAATTTTTTACATTTTTAATTAATTAATTAAATTATTTAAAAAAATTTTAATCCGGCCCGCAAAACTTTTCCAAATTATATAATTTATTTATATTAGCATTAGCCTTTTCCCTGCAAAACCCACGTTTCCCCACTAGATGGCAATGAAAATGATAAAAGCATTTTAGCCTTTATGCTAACCCTAGCCCCGCTGTTCAATTTTAGGACAATTGTGGCCCGCACGTCAAAAAGTTTGGTCAAGAAAAGGGCAAGAAAACTGAATGTCTGACGTTCCTGTCACTGACTGCTAAATTTCCCCTCCCTGTTTTTT